CTGAGCCATAACAGTCTTCTTGCTGCTGCTGAAGATGCCATGGCCCTAGATGCAAATTTGGCGGAATTGAGAGTGGCATCTGCAGTGAATTCCGCCGCTGCAATAATCTTATTAAGGTCTTGGTGAGACTGAAGGTCAGATGTAGGCAATCTAATCTGGAGTTGGTGCAGCCACTGTATAGATGCCCTTGTGAAAAAAGGATGCTGCTGTTGAAGGCCGAACAGCCCATGCAGCGCCGGAATGTCAACAGAAGGCACTGCCAGGGCATTGTCCAGGGCTGCGCTGACATCGTAGAAAAGCTTATCCAGAGAAGATGGGTGAGGACCTGCCAAAGGGAAGTGCACTGTTCCTTGACCATGTTCAGAAGCAAAGTGGGAGAAGGCAAAACCCCTGCATGCACTATAGGCTAGTCTCGCTGGCTAGAGGGATTTCCTTGTGGCTCAGGAGCCACTTCCTCTGGCGACAGCTTGGCAGTGACCAAGGCCTTGCTGAGTAATGGCCTGAAGAGAGAAGGATTGAAGACCAATGCAGAGGATGTCTGCTCTGGGTGAGAGTCCTCTTCCTCTGAAAGATTTTGGTCAAAGGTCTCACCCTAAATCAGGGTGATGACACAGGGAACTTATAGATTGAGAAGAGAGAAGGGCCTGAACCCTTTCCAGAGGTCAAAGAATTTGCTTGAAGCCTTCAACCAATCCCTGCCTAATGGCCAATGAGACAACATGACAACATCTTGGATATTCCCTCAAAGGTAGAGGTAGAAGGCCGAAGGCCCACTGCTGTGGGAGTGAAGGTGGCTTCAGGTCTAGATTGAGAAGAGGGTCGAGGCCTGGAGGGAGGGGGAGGAGCATAGGGTCCAGAAGCCTGTTGGAAATAAGGCCCAGTTCTGCTTAGATCCTGAGGATCATATTGTACTGCCAAAGCCTCAGGAGACCAGGATGGAGGATGGAAAGGCTCAAGATAACTTCTCCTCCCCTGGGAGGGCTTGGCTGAGGCCCACGGGAATCACCTGAAACCTGCTGTAATTGCACTCCCTTCTGTTGAATAGTTCTGTTGAACTGCCTCTCTAGGGCTGCATGTCTGCGCTTTAATGCCCTCAACTCAGCCTGAGTTGCCTTCTTAGGGGCTAGAGCCTTAGCTCTGATTTTAGCAGCCACCTCCCTCTGGACCAATTGGGAGCGTTGCCTACGTCTTTTTCTCTTATTGGGCTTAAGATATTGTTCCACTGGGGGGAAAGCTCTGCCTGACCCTTGTCTTGCTCCACTGTAGAATAAAGGCTCTTGCGATGGAAAGAAACTGTTTGTAAATTTTTCTATTAAGTCCCTTAGGGTATAAATGGCCCCTGGGCTTACAATATGGCCGCTCACCTCGTGGTGGAAGGCTTCAATCCAAGATGGCCACTGACTATGGGAAACAGGTTCCGAGATCGAAGAATCGCTCCTTAGGCTATAAAGAGCCCCGAGCGAAGTCAGCAAAGGAAAGGGCAGCCTCTGGCCACACGATCAGCTGGCTGACGCTTTTATGACCACTCAAACTGCAGGCGTGGGGGAGGTCTACAGACGCTGCCCAACTTGCCTGAACAGCGCTCTGGCAACGCTGCTCCCAACGTTGCAGGAGAGAGAGCCCTGCTCTCCTGGAAGAGCAGCTGCCCTGGGAGCTGCTTGAAGCGAGGAAAAATGGTACTGAAGATCGCTGGTGAGTGCTAACTATAACAGAACGCTTTCAGAGACAGAGCTACTGACTGAAAGGAGCTGAGTCAAAAGCTGGGGTAACTTTCGCGGTCTGGCTTTTATATCTTAGTACAGACTCAGCTAAATGACGTCATAGGAAGGAGTCAACCCATCCTGGGCTCTCGATGCAGCATGGAGGAGAAGTGTTATCATCAATCAAGAAGGGCCTGGAATCTATTCTAAAGCTCAACAAACAAGGAGTTATTCTAGGCAAGCTGGACCCTTTGCATACACTGACTGGCTAAGGAACAAGCTGCAAATGTTGGCCTGTCCCTTTTTTATTTTATCTCCATGCATCAGCTGAAAATAAGCTTCCTTATATTTGAATAAAACTACCACTCTCCGTGTGAACTGGGACCATGTTTTATAGTGCACTAAGATATAGTTTATGTTCAGTTGAGGACACCCACCTTCATACTTTCCAGTTGACCATATGAAAGTCGATGAGAGTAAGAAATAGGTCTGTTTATGTGGCTGTGTCCTCTATCCAGCTCTAAACTCTATTTGGTCAAATGGAAATATTCCACTAAGTGGGGAGGAGGTATTTACTACATTATCTACCATTTATTTCTCTTCCCATTTTACAAGATGCCCAGATATTTTAAATATTGCACTGTGATATGCTATCAACCAATAAATGTCTCTGAACTCTGGATTTAAAAGAGCAAGCAGGCAAGAGAAGTTGATTTGTCCTTCAGGGAATCTTCAGAAATTTGGGTTGAAGAATTTGATGAGAAGCCCAAAAGACACATCTGTAGGGGGTAGCATTATTAAACAGTCACAGGCATGAGGAGTGGGTATATGTATAGATCTGGTAACTCCCCAGCCCCATTTCCCTCCAGCATTATCCCTAAATTAAAAAAGCCAGCCAGATTCACATAGCCATAGACTTTGATGCAGGGCTTAATAACGACAGATAATCTGCTGACTTTTAAAGAAAACAACATGCAGCTTCTTCAACATACACACTCCAAGAGTTTTCTGCAGTAATGCACTAATAGCATTCAGCTTAATCAAATTTTATCTTGAAATTTGTTCAGCTGAAAACAGTCAATTGCAAAATCAATAGCTCTGTGAAATTAAATATATCTCTTCTCTGTTGCCAAATTCCAAGAGATTGCCAAGTGGTGAGAATCTTCCCAAATTATAACAAAATTGGAAAGATGGATAGATGCTCTTTCCCAATCTGTACAGACAACGGTTGACTTAGTGACTTGACTTACAACAGTTCACTTAGTGACTGTTTGAAGTTACAACAGCACTGAAAAAAAGTGATTTATGACCATTTTTCACACTTATGACCATGGCAGCATCCCCATGGTCACATAATTTATATTTGGATGCTTGACAACTGGTTCATATTTATAAAAGTTACAGTGTCCCAGGGTCATGTGAGCAACTTTTTCAACCTTCTGACAAGACAATAGGGTAGCTGGATTCACTTATCAACCGTGTTATTAATTTAACAACCTCAGTGATTCACATAACAAACGTGGCAAGAAAACTCGCCTAACAAATTTCTTACTTAACAACATAGCTATTGGGCTCAATGATGGTCGTACATCGAAGGCTACCTGAATTTATTTTTATTTGGTACTACGACAGTTGGGATTCTTATTGAGGGAGAGGTTAGCCTATTCTAGAAAACAGGCTTTATTTACGCTGTGAGCCAATCAAAAAGAAAGCTATAAAAGGTCTTTCAAATCCAAGTCATTCTAAATAAATGGATTACATGGGGAAGAAGATGCTTTTAATTTGTCTAAAACCTTTTCTCCTCAAGCTAAAAGTTGTATTATTTGGTGGGGGAGGAGGAGGAGGAGAGAAAGAGAGAGAGAGAAATTTCCTGTACTGCATAACAAACACTTGAAGATGCATTGAAATCTTCTCTGTTGGTTTAAATCAAGGAAAGAGAAAGTAAATGGCTGATCTGTATAATACACTAGTCATGACTTTCCTGCATGCTTCAGCAATATAATTAGGAATTTCCTCTGGACCATTTTAATAATCTCCTATTTAAAATGTTAAAATGTCAAGTTGATATTAATCCTAAACACTAGCATTCTATATGCACACATTTCACAGGATAAGGTTCAAAACAGTGCTTTTAAAAAAAGTTTCAATATATTGCTTAGAAGAACAAACTGTAAAATTGCCCTGTAGACTATTTCTCTTGCCACAGAAACCAAATCCACACAGAGCACAAGACTCTTATAGCCATAGGTTTACACATTCCATTTAATAGGGCTATAAATATTTGGATACATATACTCAGATTCTAATTAGGATTGAAATTCCCGACACTTTGAACAGCCAATTAAAGTAGAGAATTTCCAGTACTAACATAACCAATGTGAGATTCACTTCCCAGAAAAGGTCCCTGGCCAATTTTCTTTATTATGATATATGCTCAAGATAAGTAGTCAGAAGAAAAACTAGCCATTTTACCAAAATATTTGGGACTCAAATTATTAGCAGATTCAGTAGCTAACAAGCACAGGTTTCATAACTGTAATATAAATGGCTTTTCGCTATGCCTTATGGCCAAATTTGAAAAATCGATATATCAGCTTGGCTGGATAGATTAGATTTTATCTTTTATTTAATGCAATCTAAGAAAATTTTAACTCAGTTATATAAAACTGCAAAGTACTACTTCTCTCATCAACTTCTGAATGAAAAATGCCTGACAAAATGAAGGGGAGAAGGTGGAGAAATCCCAGTTTTGCTTTTCTGACTTGATCGAGAATAACCATGTCCGACTTGATCATAAATAGCTGAAGCTTGCCTGGTATATTGCATGGGATTTTCTCATTTTAGGAGAAAAGTTTACGATTTCCTAAAGCCTTTATAGTCCAGGCTTTTTTCCCCTGTAATGAATCATTTTGATTATGAACTAATACTGATAATCGCTAAACAAAATTGGCTATTTGAATTGTAATGGTTATTCAGTGACAATGTATGGTATTTATATCCAAATTGAAGTGGCTCAGATAAACCATCACCACTTTTTTCATTATCTTTTTCATTCCAAAGCAGCTTGAAAAAATATTTTGCAATTTTGTCTAGAGACATCGACACTTTGAGTGCAAATTGCCAATCCTTGGGCTTACTGGTCCCTGGTTTGTGAAGAGCTCAAAATGAAAATCCCATCTACAAGATTTCCAGGCTGAGCTCCTTAGACAACAGATGGAATCCAAACATGGACGTGAAAAGAAGGGATAAGCCATATAAAAATAAACTGATATGAAGAATAAGGGAAGAAAACAAACTCACGTAGTTCTTCCTGGTGTCTCTCAGTCTGCTCAAAATAATGACGGAGCTCTTCTGTGATTTCCATGTTGTCGAGGTCACATTCTATGTCCTCTTCACCTTCAGATTCTGAATCTGTTTCACAATCTTTCTCTTCTGCTCTCCTTTTTCTGACATAATGCAGGTCATCCTGAGGCCTTGGATGATACCGTGGTACCGAGGATACGCTGTCTGAGGTGGAGAAAGAAGATGGACCAGTTCTCCCTGGAACATTTTCATCCCAGTCAGAATAACGTTGATGTTGCTTGGAAGGATGAAGTGATGGATTATATAGGGATTCCATGGCTTTCCTATAAGCATTTTTATGCCTATACATCCACTCCATAGCTTCACTGTAATGTTTCCAATATCTTGCATACATTTTTTGAAAATACCATGGTCCTATATCTTGACATACAAAATTTGCCTAAAAAGGAAAACAAAATTCAGCAGTGTAAGATCTCATTCCTATATAATGTTTTGTAAGCGTCCTATGTGTCAAGAAAACAAATACTTGTTCCCGCATGACATTGCGTATTACTTTATTATACAATATGTAAAACAATGGGAAATACACAGATAAATGTCTTCTCCTCTCCCACCCTACCCCAAAACTATTAATCAGTCTAATTTTTAAATATATCATTAAACAGATAACCACCAGAAATGGGATGTATCTAGAGACATTCCAACAATTATAATCAATTATAATTATAATACATTACAATTATAATACATTCTTGTTGCTCCTACATATATTTATGGCTGTAATTGTTTTTATCTCACTATTAGGGCTGTCAAAAATAGAGATTCTACCAGTTCACCAGATATCTAAAATTTCTTCAGTTCAGTTCAGTTCAGTGAGGAGGGAGGGAAGGAGGGAGGCTAGAAAGAAAATGAAGATGAAAAAAGACTAGAATGTGATCAAAATAGAATGATTCCACTAGAGCAGGGAAGTCAAACTCAGGGCCCGCGGGGTGCTTAGATCTGGTCTGCTGAACCACACTGGAAAAAGGACTGGCGTGCGGTGCCTCGGCTCGGCCCAGGCCAACCAGGTGCTGATCTACAAACTGGTGATGGCTGGCAGAGTGCTTTAGGAGGCTGTGGCAACTGAAGATGGAGCTCGGGAGGCTGCACGCACCCCTCCCGAGCTCTGTTTTCACTGGCAGAGTACTGGAGGAGGCCGTGGCAGCCAAAAGTGGACCTCAGGAGGGCCATGAGCATCCCTCCCAAGCTCCATTTTCACTGGCAGAGTGCTAGCAAAACAAACTACTAGCAAAAGTGGCATTTGATCACAAGGCAAGGAGGCATCGACAAATGTTTCCCCTTTTGCATTTGAACATCCAAAAAGGGACAGGGAAGGAAAAAGGGAAAGACAAAGTAAAAGAAGGGAAGATGGGAAGAGAGCAAGGAAGGAAAAAGTAGGAAAGAGGGAAAGGAAGAAGGAAAATGAAGAGGGAAGGAAAAAGAAGAGAAAAAGAAAGGAGGGAGATTATGAGAGGAAGGGAAGTCCTGCCTTAGCACTTGGTCACCTGCTGCCCTTTCACCATCCCATTGTCTCCTCCTCCTGACCTCTCCTGGTGGTCTCCCATCCTATAGCTAAAGATGCTTTGGTTACAAAGCCAGGTCTCCTTGCGTGGAGAGAAAGTGGGCCTCCCTCTGACCCACACACTTTACCTTCCTGCACACACCATGATCAATCTGGCTAAGGCAGGCATGATATTCCCCTCTGAAAAAAAAATCGGGGCCGGCCAAAAGAGACCCCCCCACCGCCCCCCACTTGCGCCGCCCGCCGCTCACGCCGCCCGTTGTCCCCCCGCCCGCCCAGGCTCAGCTCGTGCCGCCCGCCACCCACCCGCCCGGGCTCAGCTCGCGCCGCCCACCGCCTGCCCGCCCGGGCTCAGCTCGCGCCGCCCGCCGCCCGCCCGCCCGGGCTCAGCTCGCGCCGCCCGCCGCTCGCGCTGCCGCCCGCCCGCCCAAAAATCGGAATTCCGATTTTAATCGGAATAATATCATGTCTGCTAAGGGGAGTGAGCAGAGCAGCAGCAGCCTCGAGGTAAGTGCAGCTGGGCACCCTTTTGGGGAAGCGGGGCTGGGCTGGCCACTTGCCCTCCACTGCCTAGGGCTCTGGACAGCCTGCACCGCCATCCGGGGGTCCGCCAAATGGCATGAGAGTGATAGTGAGACTCCTCTGGAGGACAAGGGTTTGGCCATCTCCTTGGTCTCGCCTTCCTCTGCTGGAGACAATGGATCCCTCCAGCTCTGCCCGGGCCAACACAGGCACCCCCGACACCAATGACGTCAAGCTGGCCACACACACCCTGGCCAGGCCCCCCTGAGGTCAAACACAACTCTCATGCGCCCACAATTAAATCGAGTTTGACACACCTGCATTAGAGGAGTATTACAGTAATGCCATAATTATATTAATCTGTTTAAAAGATAAGGATTTTATGAGCCCAGATTCTGTATGTTGTCCAGAAGGGAAAGGAAAAGTCAGAAGTCTTCCAATACAATTCCTTGTCAATTAAAACAAGGAATGTTAATCTAACAAATCTTTGGAATTCTATTCAAAGCTATGTAATCAAGCCTCATATTCCTCTCCCTTAATATATAGCATGTGGATCATGCATCCATTGCCTGAAAAACATGCTTAGCAGTTGTGAAGCATTTTGTGGGTTATGGCAACTGGAACTTCTTCATCAAAGATTACTAGCTTTTGCATCTCTCCTCTCCATTTCTCTCAACTACTTTGCATAGGAGGTTGAATGAATTGCCTGCAGATAGTCAAGAAAGAATTGCCCAGAGTTTTTTGTTTGTTCATTTGTTTTGGGTACTCTTTTACAGTAAATCTTTGGTTGACTTCAATTTAATAGTCTCAAACATGCTGAACACATTATTTGTTTAAATTATTCATTTAATTAAATGTTTACTGCCATATATTATTTGCATGAATTATGCAATAACCCATAGAATGATGATTGGTGTAAACTATTTAATTAGGATTTAATAGGCATTAAGGTTAATGGACACCCCTCTACCTAAATGTGCCATTAAATTAAGGTTTTACTGTAGTTAGATCTTCTTTAGAAAAGAAATTTAGAAACAGAAATTTAGGATTATTCTATCTAAAATGTATGGTATCTAGCATTTAAGTTATGTACAGAATCTTCTTAAATACAAGTAGGCCACAAAAGTGTTTATCAGAGTCTAATATTAAATTCATCATTTGTTAGAGGTGAAAATCAAAACTAAAAAGGTGAATAATAAACTAAACATAGTCTGTTGCAAAGAAAATGCATTTGTTATGACAAATAATAATGGAGTTTATAGGATTAGAGATTTGATTATTTCATGGGAAAGCCTAGATCTGTCCAGTAAAACACAGGTAGTCCTCAACTTACAACAGTTCCTTTAGTGACCATTCAAAGTTACAGCATCACTGAAAAAAGTAACTTATGAACATTTTTCATACTCATGACCGTTGCAGCATCCCCACCGTCATCAAAATTCAGCACTTGGCAACTGACTCATATTTATGACCTTTGCAGTGCCTTGACATCATGTGATCACCTTTTATGACCTTCTGACAAGCAATGTCAATGGGGAAGCCAGATTCACTTAATAACTGTACTACTGACTTAACAACTGCAGTGATTCACTAAACAATTGTGGCAAGAAAAAACTCACTTAACAAATGTCTCACTAACAACATGAATTTTGGGCTCAATTGTGGTTGTAAGTTGAGGAGGACTACCTGTACATTCTACAGAAGAATTGGTCCTAAGTTCCAACTTGGCCCTACAATAAATTCTTCTTAAGCTTTGAAATTTTATAGCAGTCTTCAAATTATATTATATATGCACTATTTATAATTGAAAAACCTTCTTTAATTTACAGTAAAGTCATCAAATCCAGTTTGATGACTAGGTTTGGTTAAGGCACCAGACTATAAAGCAGGAGATAATGAGTTTTAGTCCTGCCTTAGACATGAAAGCTGGCTGGATGACTTGTCAATCACTTTCTTAGCCTAACGCACCTCAAAAGGTTGTTGTGGGAAAAATAGGAGGAGGAAGGTGTGTCAGATATGTTGGCCTCCTTGAGTTATTTGTAAAATAATAAAGGTGGGAAACAAATATATAAATAACAATAAAAATGCAATCATCCTCTCAACTCTTGGGGAAAGGAACTGGGATTTGAACTTGGTGAATCTGCCTGGAACACAAGAAAATTGGTAAATTATTGGCAATTATTTAGAAAGGACTAAAATATAGTTCATAGATAGTATGACATACTGTATCATTCAAATTCTATAATATTAACAAACATATATTAGATTGTAACTGGTAAAGAAATGGTGAGATATCGCAATTTGAATGCCAAGTGGATAAAAGCACCCAGTTCTCTAGGCAGCATTAAGAAAGTGATTTGCCACTGTCTTTTTCATCTATAAATACGTATTTAAATTCTAATGTTGCCTACATCCCTAATGTTCCCTGATAGTTACTCATCTAAGTGCTAATAAGGCTTGTCCCTGTTTAACTTCTAAGAACAAGATTAACCAGGTACTGCCACCTGCTGAAACTGGTACACATTATCACCTCTGCATAACTTGTACATCTAGCTATTTTAATTTCCTCTAATCTAGGAGCGTCAAACCCAATTGCATCATGGGCTGTATCGTGATGTTTTTTTGTCTTTGTGGAGCCGGGCTGAGCATGGCCTGCATGGGCTGTATCTGGCCCATGGGCCACCAGTTTGACAGGCCTGCTCTAACCCCTTGCAGGATCTGTCCCTACTTGGGAATGGAGGTAGCGTAAGACTTGTCAGAGGCGATGTCCTTTCCTTATATTGCTACATTAAAAAAATTCATTGAAACGCTGGCTGGGTCTGGAGTACTTTAATAGGCCAAGAGATTAGATGTAGAAGGAAATGGAGAGATAAGCTTACCTCTGCATTGATCATTTGGGGGGACAATTTACAATAATTCAAGCTTACTTGATATTGTAATTTACCCACAGGCATTTTAATTCTTCTATTTGTTTCAAAGATTGACTTTGAATTGCAAAAGAGTTTTCTTTTGCCCATTTTAGGCAAAAGTGTCAAGCTATTTTCTAACTGGTAGAATCAAAGGGATCAAGCTATTTTCCAAAGCCCCTGAAAGCCAGACAAGGAATAATGGAGGGAAACTGATCAAGGAGAGATTCAATCTAGAAGTAAGGAGACATTTTCTGACAATCAACCAATGGAACAGCTTTCCCTCGGAAGTTGTGGGAGCGTCATCACTTGAGACTTTCAAGAAGAGATTAGACTCCCATCTGTCAGAAGTGGTGTAGGGTCTCCTGCTTGGGCAAGGAGTTGGACTAGATGAGGTCCAAGGTCCCTTCCAACTCTGATTATCTGTTATCTGTTACCTGTTAAGTTGTT